CGTGAACCAAGCCTGCCAAACAGACCAGAAGGAGGAGACCCAACCATGCTTAGCTACAGCAGTCACAGAGGAAGAGGATGTGGCAATGTATCGGCGTCAACTTCGAAACGTGTTCGACAGTTCCTTTCTAGCTGCAGCAACCAAGAAAGACAGATCGCTCAACCCACAGCTCAATATGGTTAAAAGTCAAAAATGGGACAACATCAAATCATGCTACGGACCCTATTTCTACGACGTCCGACACAGGCTCTCAGTGCGAGATGGCATCCTCTTATACGACGATCGCGCAGTGATCCCAAAACAACTCCGCCAACTCTGGTCGACTCACTGCATTTAACACACCCTGGGCAAGGTGGGATGCTTGAAGCAGCGCGTAACATATGGTATCCGTACCTTCACAGAGACATCGTTGCCAAAACTGTAAAGAGTGCAGACAAAAAGGTTAAAACCTAAAGGTTATATCGGGGCATTCTCATTTCACGTCATTAGACGCGGTCGTTAAACCAAACGAAGAAATATAACTGGATTTTGCGGGGCCGCTACCGGATGAAAATAATAAGGATGTCTACATTCTGGTAGGGGTCGATCGCTTCTCCCGTTTTCCCTCAGCAAAGGTCGTCACAAATAATAAGGCGGACACCATAATTCGTTTTATGCAAACCCACATAGTCAACCATGGGGTACCTCGAAACATACGGTGTGATCAGGCACAAGGGTTTCGAGCGAAAAAATTTATGTTATACTGCAAGGATAAAAACATCAAACTAATTTTTGCACCAGTCGATGATCACCGATCCATTGGTATGGTGGAACGACTAATAAGAACACTAAAATCAAGACTCTCGGTAATGAAAATTGATAATCGTAATAAACCATATAAACTTGCATCAGACGTGGCTGAGTTTATCAAGACTCTAAGAGTAACACCTAACGCGACAACAAAAACAACCCCATTCGAAGCGCATTTTGGTAGATAACCAATACACCGCTAAGCAATATGGCCACATCTCCAAAATCGTCAAACCTATCATGGGAAAACACCAAACTTGCTTGTTTAGACCAAAGGCTCCTTACCAAACCCGCTCTAACCGCAGAAGCCATGTGGAATAGGGATGTGAACAGCGAGGACGAGCTGGATATTAACTATCGACAAAGTCAACAGGAACCACAACTAGTGCCAGACAACAAACCATCCTCATCAAAAAGCACAACCGTCACCAAACCAACGCTGGCCGCAGAACCAGTAACCCCATCGGGGAAGAGGAAGGCAACCACTCCAGCCGAGGAACCGCATAGATTTAGTGGGTGGGACAGTAGCGACGAGGATTTCGACCGTCAACTATTGGCTCGATTCCCTATAGGTGCGCACTTACCTTTAACTAATACCGCCTACGATCTCATAAAAGAAAAACGTAAATTTCTGAGCAAAAAACAGGCCACAACATTGAAAAAATAAGGACAAGAATACCTATACGAACTTTAACAGCGCAAGAAAAAAACAAAAAATGGAATGGGCACCAATAGTTTTTCTTGAAGATCGCTTTAAAGGTCCGCAGGCTACCATTAACACAAAACTAGGACAGAAAATCGATCAAGTGGCCAGAAAATCAGGCACTATCGCCAGGAAAATCAAAAACCCAGGTGTGTTCGGGGCACAGATTAAAATTTTGGAAAACGGCTCGATTATTAATTACTCACCACACACCGCTTGGGTTCGGGAGGATGGTAAGCAGCCACGGGTTATAAGACACGATGGTCTCGCTTTTGTGCCGGATCCACGGGTCTATGGAAAATGTCGCCCAGCAGCCCTTAAAGACTTTGTGGCTTATAAACATTTACCTCGAGCCAAACCTCGTGTTTTAGCAAAAAGCCCAAAACTGGATAGAGCGAAACAGACCACCAAGCAGGTGGTACAAGACACGCGGAAGACACAGGAAACCTGGAACAGCTTCTCTCGCAATCCCAAAAAAGACGTGCACTGGGCCATGACGGCCTATTCAAAAGGGTTCATACAAAGACAAGAGCTACTTCAGCTAATCAAGACACTGCAGCGATACCCAAGCCAACTGGTAAACAAAACCCGATAAGCAAATTAAAGAAAAGCTGACTCGAAAATGCTGATATCGAATTCGAATGCGATACATCCATATCTCTAACAGATACCAATCTTACTCGAAGAACGCCTTCCCCCAAAAAACCAGCTCCTAAAAGATTGGATACTAAGAAAACGCCAGAAGAGTTCGATCAACAATGTCGCCGATCGATGAGAAATAGAACCATTGCGTTGGCCGGAAAACTGGGCAACGCTATACCAATTAGCACTATTGAATCACAAAGCAGTGATATTCGCAATGTGGTATGTCAGGTAGAAGTAATACCTACTCCAAAAAACAGCACACAAAGTCAAACCGCCATCACACCGCAACAAAATCAACAAGAGGTGATTTCCTTGTCATCATCTGTAGAATGCGTGGAAATCCAGTTGGAGTCTGACACACCGGAAAATATTAGGGCACGCAGCGAACAAAAGGACGACGTTCACATGTCTCCAAAACAAACGGACAACCAGACAGAGTCTACAATGCAAGCGGCTTCACAACAAAGGGCAATGAGTACTCGAAACGTCCTAGACAGACCACCACAGGCCACTACCCCGGATGCAAGCTTCATAAAGAATTTTGACTCAGCGATGAAGCTCTTAAAGGAAATCTTCTCGCCCATCAAGAAATCAATGACGTTCCGAAGAGAAAAAGAAAACACGTCAACCAGCTCTGTTAACAAAACACCTTCATCATCCAACGTATCAAATCAGGAAACCACATCAACCGGGGACAAATCCATAAAGAAAATGTAATTTTCATTCCAGAAAATGGGAAATGCTATACAGTGTATAGTAAAGAAACTCATTGTGTCAGATATGACATACAAAACTAAAACAAGAAATAGATTACTATACTGATATAGTTACTCGGCGCTATATATATATATATATATATATATATATCTACATATATAACCAGTTGGTATATTTATATAATCTATAGAGATCTGTGATAATACGATACTTTGAAAAACTAAAACTCATTATGTACTAGTTTCTATGAGTTATGATTCTCACATGCTTCGAGGTCAGTCCAAAGCCGAAAGACAGAGTCTCAATTAACAAACTGAATTTAAGTTAACCACTCAATCTTATTTCGGACATCATTCAGAATCTCATGTCATCTAACAACTTTCCGTGGGTACTTTGCGTGGGTTGAAACTATGCTGTATTGCTTCTAACACATTAACGTAAATATTATTGAGTTGCTGGTTGACCAAAAAAATAATTTCACTGATCGGTTATTCCGGTTACTAGTAACAACTCGTGTTCAAAATAGACGAAACACAACGAGACAAATTGAACGAGACAAAACCAACATGACCAGATACGATCATTATGATCAATATTTCCATAACTCTCCCCCCTCGATCCCTTAAACATAATCGATCTCTCTAATTCAATCAGAGGCTCAAATCATAGATCGATGTAGCTACGACAACAACTACTAATACTTTGAAATAAATGTATAGAATCGAGTTTTAATTTTTCCTAGGTCCTTGTCCCTAGAAGTCATCATATGGTAAAAGGAGCGGATCGCAGTCACAGCGATACGAATTCATGCAGAAGAAGGTAGTATTTACGATATTCTAATCCAATTTGTCCTAGATTATTTCGAAAAAAGTTTCCTGGTGCTGACATCTGCTGTCATTTATCACGAACGACCAAGACGACCGATTCTAAGACAATTCCAAGTAGATACTAGCCACAACAACGAGCTACTTTCAAATACGGTCGAGCGTCTTTACAGAAAAGCGAAATTGGCTCATGCTGAAATTGACTCAGAAATTGAGTCGGGGTCTTTTTTCAAATTGACCACCGACTTGGATTTTACCGATTTGGATTAATTAACGCATGATATATTTCGTGCTATTAACGCTTGAGCGGCAATTTATTCCGTCTTCCACATTGAATTGAAGCATGGAATTTGGTCTATTTAAAACTTCGCCATATGCAAAATATATAATTTTGTACTTGACAGCGTGTGTGGGTATTTACAAAAAAAAAACTTTTTAGAACATTTTTTTTGGAAATTTCATCATTTTTCTAACGAACACTACTTCGTAGACCTTGAAAAGAGCAGTCATCACATTTAGTGCACATTCAAGCAGTCAGCACTTTTCTATAAAAACAAACAATTTCGGAATGAGCGAACGATTGAAAAGCCAATGTATTTTCTCCTTCAACGGTTATCATGTTCCACATTGCGAAATAAATTGCGGTATTATCATTTATTCCAAATCTCCAATTACTGCCAAGTAGTACATGTATACGGGTGAAATATATATGGATGAACTAACTGAAAGCCCCGCACATAATCAAGAAAACAGTTGCAAATTCCTTTGAATCAATGGAATAGTTGTTTACTGTTTCAACGCTTAGTTGTCCAAGAATTTCCAAAATGAGAAGTACAAATTCATTCTACCGTCAAACTTGTATTATCCTTTTTCACGCAGAAAAGAACACAGTTCAAGTGTAGAATGTCAATTACAAAACCAGTCGACATTGAACAATCTTGGTGAGCCTGAAATCAAAAAAACTAAGCAATGCACTCTTTTTGAAATTTCCTTCACGCAGTTGATTTGATCTAGAAAAAAAACGTAGTCATCAGATGTCAAATATTCGTCTCATTTTTGTATATCTATGTTAAGGACGCAGTTGCAACTTCCCCTCAATCAATCGACAGCTCTCGGTAGAATTACTAGGATAACAGCTACAACTACAACTAACTAATTCAATTGAGTAAATAAAGCACGGTTGGAAATTTATGTACACATTGCAGCATTTTTTACGCGAAGAATTAAGGTAATCGGTTCGTGGAAAAATTCAGATTATCATGAAATGGATGTTTATTGAATTCATCGACTAAAACTAAAAATATCTTTCTAAAATTCTGTTTCTATAGAAGAACACTAAACAAAAACTCTTGGGTATATTGTGGTAAAACATTTATACAAATTAAAATTAAGCGGGCGAGTGCTACTACTGTAACTGTCCAACAGTTCAAAATAAGTTCTTTTCGATGTTCAGTAATGCAAGTACACTATCTCTTACAAGCTTAGGTTACAATTCATAGAGTTCATCATGTCTTTTGCTCTCGGGAAAAAACGAAGTTGTTGAATTATGACCAACTTTCTTGTCTTTCTTCTTATCTTGTCTTGTAACTGTCGCTGTTTTATTCTGCAAATTAAAAAGCGATTCGCTGCTACTCGAAGAATTCATTGCGCTACATGAGCTGTTCTGCTGTAATTTCTCCACATTTGACTTGGTAACTTCCAGCATTGTGTCAAACTTCTTGAAGATGTCTGAAATGTCGGGCGACGGCGGAGTGTTGCCGCGTTGCGTCGTCGAATGTCCATTTTGGGTTAACCCTTTTTGCAAGTCAGCATCTGGATTCAAAAGATGTCCATTTGACTTCGAAGTAGCTTGTATTGTTACTGGTTGTGATCTTGGTGTCTGTATGCCATTCTTACTGGTTGTTTTGTTCTGCTTACGTTGCTTGTTTTCGAGAGAGTGGATTTCGTCGTTAAAGGTGTGAGCACCGTCTTGGGATACCAAAGTCATGTCTACTGGTATAACGTCAGGACAGGGAACGAGGATGGTATCTTTGAGGAAGAATGCTTCGTTCGTGTAGAGCTTGTTAATTCGCTTTAACTGTTCTATGCTGATGTTGTACTTCAGGGATATTGCTAAAACAGTATTTGTTCATATCAATGTTTTATATTTGTTTAAAACTTTGTCAATAAGGGTACAAATCAACTTCAAAGTAAACTCAACAAAACAAAGGAAACAATTTCGACAGTTAGTGTCACAATGGCCTGTTCATGTCAGGTAAATGACACAAATACTCAAACAAAAACAGCAACAAACGTCACAATTTCAGATTTTTAACCTAGGAACTACATTTATTCTTGACACTATAAAGACAAAAAATTTAATGCATTCCCAGTGTGACGGATAGTTTTGCATGAGATAATCATCTGAAATTTCTCCATGGGAGCTGATTGGTTCTGTCACATTGAACAGGATTATGGCAAAAAATAATTATTTGTCAGTTTGTTGACTGTATTTTTTCGCTGTATATTGCACGCGTTTGCCGTGATCAGCAACCTATTCAAACAAGATGAACCAAGTGGAGTCCCGCAAGGGAGCGCCTTAGGGCCTATACTATTTCTAATTGTTAGCGATGATATCTTGGATTGACCAAAATTGGATCCAGCGGCAACCGCCTACTCGTGGTGGATTCGTCTCCAACTGGAGCAAATGGTGCCAACCCTGCCGCAACAGCGACAGACTTCCCAGAAAGGGACCCTATTCGTCACTCAACCCGGGTTTTTGGTAGTGGAGAAGACAACGCCAGCCTCTCTTCTCCTGCTCCAACTACTGATGGCTGGTATTGAACCCAACCCCGGTCCGGCACAGAAAGTCAACTGCAAAGTCTGCTCCCGACAGATGAAAACACAGACAATCAGATGCCACCAATGCAAAGAATGGATGCACCTGAAATGCAGCGGCATGCGCAAGACAGCCGAGTACCTCTCTCAGCCAGACTGGAGATGCCCCCCCTGCACTGCAGAGACCCCCCGACAAACCCAGAAAGTGAAGTTCAAGCTACTACAACTGAACTGCAATGGCATACAGAATAAAGCAATAGAGCTCAGCAACTACCTACAAGAAAGGAAGATCACAGTTGCCGCCCTTCAAGAGACCAAACTACAAGAACGGAACAAGACGCCGAAGTTCCCTGGCTATACTGCCATCCGACGGGATCGTGGTCAAGGAGGTGGCGGACTCATGACCCTCATTCACGAAACTGTCGACTTCAACACCATGGACATAGATCAGCAGAACGACGGCACGAGAGAAGTCCAGGGAGTCAACATCAAGATGAACGAAGTTGAATTGAACATCATCAACTACTACATCCCTCCCTCCAGCAGCTGTCCTCAAGGTTACAAGGCGTCCCTGCAAGACCTCCTCTACAGCAGCAAGACAATCCTGGTAGGAGACGCGAACGCACACAGTTCCTTGTGGCATTCCAGCAACCAAGAAGACACCCGTGGCTCCGAACTGGCAGAAGAAATTGAAGACTCCTCCTTCGGCGTCCTCAACACCGACCACCCAACTCGCCTCCCACGAGGAGATCAGCCATCCTCGCCGGACATCAGCATGGCCTCCTCCGACCTGCTTCTCGACCTCTCCTGGAAAACAGAGATCACCCTGGGCTCAGATCACCTTCCCATGAAGATCGAACTGAAGAGGGACACAGAAGTCAGAGCACCCAAGCGCACCTTCGTGAACCTCAGCAGAGCCGACTGGGATACCTTCAAACAGGAAACAGAAGAACTCTTTCTGAGCGAAGAAGAACCATCTGACACCCACAGCGGAGAGAAAGTCTTCAGGAAGATTCTGAACACTGCTTCTGCTCACAACATTCCCTCCGGACGCATTCCCAAAGCCAAGACCAACATTCCGCCAGCAGCCTCCCGCCTGATCAAGCAAAGAGACGAAACAAGAAGAAACAACCCTCACTCCGAAGACATTCCGACCTTGAACGCCAGGATAGACTTCCTCATTTCCAAGCAAAGAATGGAGAAATGGAAAGAGCATGTGGCAACATTCGACAGAAAAACCAATGTGACCAAACTCTGGAAGACAATCGGCGCGATCACAGGAAAGAAACAAAGTGCCCCTCCAAATCAAGGAATAAAATTCAACGAAAAACAGATTAAAGACGCCAGCAGTATGAGCAACGCTTTCAATATACAATACGCAAGACCAATGAACCACAAGACCGAGAAAGACAACAGGAAAATAAACAGAAACATAAAGAAACAACCTCTCAACGACGCCCCAGTCATTACCTCCAAACAAGTAAAAACTGCCATACAGAACGCGAAGAACTCCAAAGCATTCGGCCCAGACAACATCTCGACCACTCACATGAAACACCTCGGACCATATGCTATCAACTACCTCACGAAGATCTTCAACCTGTCGCTCAGCAAATGCCAGATCCCAGCAATTTGGAAGTCGTCAGTCATTATTCCGCTGCTGAAACCAGGCAAAGACGCAGGCCTCAGCAACTCGTACAGACCCGTCTCCTTGCTTTGCCCAGCCTCGAAGATCCTGGAGAAGTGCATCCAACCTCTCATCACCGAACACCTCCACTTCGCCAGTCACCAACACGGCTTCCGGTCCAAGCACTCAACGGTCACCGCTCTTTGTGACATCACGACAGCCATCTCCAACGGCTTCAACAGAAAGAAACCAGCCGACAGGACTCTGCTTGTCGCGATTGACCTGTCGAAAGCCTTCGACACGGTTAAGCATTCCAAGCTCCTCGACCTCATCAACAAGACCAGTCTGCCCAGTGCTCTGAAAAGATGGCTCGCGAACTTCCTACAAGGACGACAAGCAAGAACACTGTTTCGCGACTCTCTCTCAAAAGCACGGATAGTTCGGTTTGGAGTGCCACAAGTATCAGTTTTGTCGCCACTCCTTTTCAACTATTACGTCGCAGACGCACCTAGCCCTCCGGACGAAATCAAGATCAAGTCCTACGCAGACGACTTCACGTCCCTCATTCTCGGCACCGACATACCAGCAATGGCAGGAAAACAAACGGAGTACCTCGCAGAACTAGTGAACTTCTTCGAAGAGCGAAACCTCCAGATCTCCATTGACAAGAGTTTTGTCACACTGATGACACCACAGACAGCCCAATACAAAACCGTTCCTGAAGTGAAGATAAACAATGAACAAATAAGAATGAACAACCAAGCGAAGATCCTCGGCATCACTTTCGACACCATGCACACTTTCGGGGCCCATTGCAGAGACACTGCGAAGAAATGCTCTCAACGCAACAACGCCCTGAAAGCGCTTGCCGGCACTGACTGGGGAAGCGACAAGGAAACACTCCTCATGACCTACAAAGCCGTTGTTCGCTCTAAACTTGAGTACGGCGCCGCTGTGATAACGCCCACACTCTCCGAAAGCAACATCGAGAAACTACAGAAGGTCCAAAACAGCGCCCTGAGAACAATCACCGGATGCCACGCCATGACTCACATAGACCACCTTCACCAAGAAACATCCGTTCTACCAGTTAGACGACACCTCAGAATGCGAACGATAAAACATCATCTCGCCAACCACTTGCCAGATCACCCAGGAAACCAACTCACGAAAGAACCCAAGAACCCACCAAGACTCATGAAAGAAACCCTCCAAACACGATATGAAGAAAGATACATTGAACCTCTACTCGACAGCAATAGACCTCTAACCGAAAAGAAGTACAGAAACCTGCTAAAAACGATCCACACAAATGAGGTACGCGACGCCTTACAAACCTACGAATACCCAGCAGTCCTCGGACACAATCCACCAAAAATTGCCAAAGAAGAAACCGAATTACCAAGAACAACAAGAAGAACACTGGCACAGCTCAGATCCGGCTACTCAAAGTTCCTGAACTCGTACATGAACAGAATTGACCCGACAGTAAGCGAACTTTGCCCGGACTGCCAGCAAACAAGCCACACAACTATACACCTGTTCGACTGCATCGCAAATCCTACGAACTTAACCCCAGCCGATCTCTGGAAGCAACCGAAGAAGACAGCAATATTCCTGAAACTCCCCACAACCCTGGACCCAACAACGAGCGACGAATAGATCTCAGAAGGGCAACAACAACAACATTGACCAAAATTATCCAAATGTTTTTTTTTGTATTCAGATGACGCCAAACTCAGTACAACCGTTCCACCAGTTTTTGCATCTCACCGATACGATACTAATCAGCTGACTTCTTGGACTGGCTCTTATAACCTGAACTTTCATCCCTCCATGTGTTTCTACCTTCATTTTTCTCCTGTGTTCCAGGGATCAGTTTATTTAATACACGCAGTGCTTCAGTGTAAGAAGAAAACCGAAGACTTGGGTGTTATAATTTCTTTGGACCTAAAACGGTGTTCACACAATTTTTCAAAAGTCTAGAAAGCTCAACGGAGTTTCTGTTGTTTGCGCAATACAGTACTTACTTTTAAGCTCCCATCATGTGTTAAATACAAAATGTTCAATCGATCATATTTTATTGCTGCTTGGGGCCCAAAAGGTTGGAGCCCAAATGTTTTTTGCTTGCGCAAACTAGAGTCGCTCAATTATCTTGGACTCAAGTGGTGTTTTGGATCAACAACTTCCTACGAGTGTTACAAAGCTGATGGTCAGTAGTACAAAAAAGCGATAATGTGATGCAGCCTATTTCTCATAATGAAATAGGTCAATGATCTGCAAGATAAACTCGGTGCTGAACTTGTTCCTGATGATGTATTTGCAACTGGCATCTAACTACTTACAGGATTGCAATCAATTAGTTCTTTTTGATCGAGAAATTTACTTCACAGAATATCTATTCATGGACTATACAGTGGTATTTCACAGGTCCAGACTACGCCGCCTTCAAGTGGTTGACCCGACATCCTGGCTTTCCAGGTTGAAAATGGCGTCAAGCCACCCTACCAAGCGTCGGGAGAAGCTCAGAAGTTTCTGGGTTTTCGGTTACAGAGCGTCTGCGGCCGGCCAGGCTCCTCTGTCTACTGATACTCACCCTGCTCTTTAGATCCGGCATTAACCCTAACCCCGGTCCCTACAAATTTTCACCCTGTAGCTAAAACATTAG